CTACTAACCCACAGTACTGAGACTAACTCAACCACTTTTCCAGTCAGCTGTTCATTGCTGTATTTTTCATTAGTTTATGCACATGTATTTATTTGCTTGTATTAGGGCTGTATGATTAATCTGTATAACAAAATCAAGATGTTATGAGAACCGTTTTTTAACAAAACAGATGTTTTAAGGCTCCCGGTGATTTTCCGTCAAAATAAAAATTCTGTGGTTTAACATTTGAAAAAGCCTGACCCTAAAATTAAAGTAAAGTAAATTAAATACTCTTGTTATTAAATAATATTAAATAATTTTTATTTTACAGTACAATAATACTATTACTGTAGTAATGTATTTCTTTATTAATTTAATACATTTTTTATAATTTAATAATATAATTTAATAATAATAATAATCTAGGGTCCAGTGTGAGTTGTTCTGTAAGTAATTTTTACTGTTAAAATTAACAGTAAATCCACATTTTAAAGCTGGTATTTTAAACATTTTATACCTGATTTATTTTTCTTAAATATATATATTTTTTAATTTGCAGTGAAATATTACAATAGCAGTATTTCTCATTTAGTTTTTATGTAGATTATATAAATAGTGTATTTTTTAAATAAAATAAACAAGTAATATATTATTACTGCTATTATTATTTTATGGCCTTATTGATGTATAATCAAAATTTTGGCCAAATTTCGCAGCCCTACAAACAAGCATAGCAAACTTGAAATGTTTTATTAATTGCGATTTTTCCCAAAAAATTGACCAGCAATTTGATTCTTTCCCCAAATCATGCAGACCTAAGTTGTATTATTTATTTGTTATCGTTTCCTAGGAAACAAAGGAGCAGTGGGCGTGTCTTTCATGTTTAACGGGACGTCGTTTGGTTTCGTGAACTGTCACCTGACGTCCGGCAATGAGAAAATCCACAGGTGAGACTGGAGTAATACATTCACAGCTCACGGTTTGTGAATGTGTGATGCACTAATGACCTCTGACCCCTGGCAGACGGAACCAGAACTATCTGGACATCCTGCGTCAGCTGTCGCTGGGCGATAAACAGCTCAACTCCTTCGACATCTCGCTGAGATTCACACATCTCTTCTGGTTTGGCGACCTCAACTACCGTCTGGACATGGACATACAGGTGAACCGTTCTGCCGGTGTTGTCTAATAGAATCAGAGTCAGAAAGAGCTTTATTGCCAGGAATTAAATTCATCTTGGTGTTAGGAGCTTCCATTACAGAAAGTACAACATAGTGCAGACATACATATAATTAAGGTAATAAAAGAGAATAGACAATAAGTTATAAATAACAATAGTAATAAAATGTCCATAGATAGAATTGTGAATGTGCATATGTGCTAATAGAACGTTCATTCAAAGTTATCTGGTCTTTAATAATGTTCTCAAAGCATTAGCACAAAAACATTATTTATATATCGTTCATGGAGCATTTATTGTTTCTAAAATGTTTTATTTATTTAAGCTCATCCAGTGTTATTTTAGTATCACTGAGATACTATTTGAATGAGATTTTATTTTTTATCATTTCTGCTTTTATTTAAATTTTAGTTAAAGTAATTTTGTTGTATTTTGTGTTAGTGTTTGTTTTTAAATGTCTATATAGTTTTATTTAATTTTTATTTCAGTTTCAGTTTATTTAGTACATCAAGGTAAACTTAATGGAAATGAGAAATGTTGAGCTGAAATTGTTTTTTAGATTTTATACTTTGTTTCAGTTATCTATAGTAACATTTTTTCAGTTAACTGTAACAAGCCTGAGTTTATGTAACATTTTTTAAACATTACTACTTGTTTTAGAACGTTCAGACATTATGTAACATTCCCATAAAGTTTGCAAAATGATCAAATGGAATGTTCTCTTAATGTTGACATGACCAAAATAAAATGTCTTTAAAACATTTTTTTTTTAAATGGACATTTTTAACATTCAAAGAACATTCAGAAATAATGTTCTCATGAATTAATTTAGAACATTAGCAAAACACTGTAAAAAATGTTTTAGTTAGCTGGGAAACCGCCATAAAACACATGCAAACTAGACACTTCTGATGAAAGTGTTCCCAACCAAATCACTCCTCGCCTGAAAAACAGAAAAGAAAAACCCAACCCTAGAAAGACGGAATAAAGTTAGACTCAACTTTATACCTTATTTGAAACGTTATCCTTCAAATCATTTACATTAGCTACATTTTCATCCCATGTTGCCAGATAATGCCTGTATTTTTGTGCATGTCAGAAATGTGGGATTCTGTGTTTTCACAAATTGTTTTTGACATGAAAACATACGGTTATGGTTTAATAGTCATCAGTTTGATTAATTTCATTTCATTGATGAGTTGTGCATCAACTGCATTTATATGCCTGAATGAACGAGGCATTTATATAGCTTTATGTTGCTCCTTGAGAGCTTGCCAGTGTTTAAGACCCAAATCTGCTCAGGTCTAGGTTTTCAGTCTGTGAAGACCTCCAGTGATATGGTGCTGTTCAGTGTGTACTGTGCAGTACTCTAGTGTACTCAGTAGTGACCGCTGTGAGTCTGAACACGCTCTCTCTCACAGGAAATCCTCAACTACATCAACAGGAAGGAGTTTGAGCCATTGTTGAAGGTGGACCAGCTAAATCTGGAGAGAGAGAAGAACAAGGTCTTCCTTCGCTTCGGTACGCCTCACCTCTGTCTGTATGTGTGTGTCTAATAAATAAATAAATAAACAAACAAACAAACAAACAATAATATATATAAAATATAAATACTTAATATCGCCACAAGAGGTCTCCAAACAATTAATAAATGAACAAAAACACAGTAATTTTGGTGAAAGTTATAACATTTAAAGTAACATTTTTAACCCTGTTACATAAAGATCATAATTCATTACATTTATATAGCGCTTTTCTAGGCACTCAAAGCGCTTTACATTGTCAGGGGGTATCTCCTCATCCACCACCAGTGTGCAGCATCCAGAACATTATTTACAACATTATTACCTGCAATCCAGAGCCTCAGGAAAACGGTTCAGTTTGTGAATGAATCATTTTTTTGAATCGGTTCTTTTCAGTGAACCACTTGAATCAGTTCATCAAATTGGACTGAATTGTTTATTCACTTTATATGCTTTAGACTGTAAAACATACACATTTCACATCATTATTGGGTGCTTTTATAATATAATTGCGTATGAAATCATTGCATGATTATGTGAATGGACTAGTGAATTGAATCAGTTCAGTGAATCAAACTGTCCAAAAGAATTGGTTCACAGAAAAGAACTGTATTTTCCCATTTGCCCGAGGCTCTGGATTGCAGGTAATAATGTTGTAAATAATGTTCAGTTTCTTGCACAGACTGATAATTTCGCTTCATAAGACCTCAATATATCATCAGGAGCCATTGTGTGTGTGTGTGTGTCTGTGTGTGTGTATGTGTGTGTGTCCAGTGGAGGAGGAGATCACCTATCCGCCCACGTACCGTTATGAGCGCGGCTCGCGAGACACGTATGTCTGGCAGAAGCAGAAGGCGACTGGGGTACGTCAGAAACTGCCCACATTTACTGACTGAACCAAAACTGTCTTGAAACAGTAGTTCATCCAAAAATTTAAATCTGCTTTTACTTTACTTACCCTCAGGCCTTACATGATGTAGGAGACTTTTTTTCTTCGGTAGAACAGTAATGAAGAGTTTCAGCTGAATCTGTGCTACTTGGTGATTCATAAAGTGCAAGTCAATGGCTGCCGGCAATTTAGGTGTGAACAACAGCATATCGGGCAACACAAAATCCCCGTGGCTCCTGACGATGTATTGAGGTCTTATGAAGAGAAACGATTGGTCTGTGCAAGAAACTGAACATTATTTACAACATTATTACCTGCAATCCAGAGCCTCAGGAAAACGGTTCAGTTTGTGAATGAATCATTTTTTTGAATCGGTTCTTTTCAGTGAACCACTTGAATCAGTTCATCAAATTGGACTGAATTGTTTATTCACTTTATATGCTTTAGACTGTAAAACATACACATTTCACATCATTATTGGGTGCTTTTATAATATAATTGCGTATGAAATCATTGCATGATTATGTGAATGGACTAGTGAATTGAATCAGTTCAGTGAATCAAACTGTCCAAAAGAATTGGTTCACAGAAAAGAACTGTATTTTCCCATTTGCCCGAGGCTCTGGATTGCAGGTAATAATGTTGTAAATAATGTTCAGTTTCTTGCACAGACTGATAATTTCGCTTCATAAGACCTCAATATATCATCAGGAGCCATGGGGGTTAATTTTGTGTTGCCTGTATGTGCTTTTTTGACTCTCAAAGTGCCGGCACCCATTGACTTGCATTATATGAATCACCAATGATCTTGGTGATCTTCTTTATGGTTCTACTTAAGACAAAAAGCACATGTCAGATGGCCTGAAGGTGAGTAAATTAACATGAATCTTTATTTTTGGGTGAGCTGCTCTTCATGTGCATGAAGGAAGAATCCTGTGTGAATATGTTTACGGTCCTGAGGCGGCTACTTCCTGTCTTCTGACCTTTGCTAAAGGAAGTGAAGCGTCCTGATGGCATTCTTTAATTTCCTCCCGTCTCTCAGATGCGGACCAATGTTCCTTCATGGTGCGACAGAATCCTCTGGAAATCCTATCCGGAGACGCACATCGTGTGCAACTCTTACGGTACGCAGTCGCAACGGTGACCAGACACATTACCACATGATTTATGACTCTTCTGCTCACAAAACTGTTTATCTGATCAAAAATACAGTACAAATTATGATATATTATTAGGATTTAAAACAGCTGTTTTCTGTGTGAATCTCTGTTAAACTGTAATTTATTTATATATTTAAGTATAATATATACTTATTTATATATACATATATACTTCTTCTTATAATTATTTATGCAGTTCAAAACTGATTCACCAACTTATTCATGTCAAAAAATGAATAATGTTGACAGAAATAATTATAAAAATATTAAAATGATGTAGTAGAATTTGTGATTAAATATTAAATATGCAAATATTTGATACTTATCACTATGCATTGTTATAGTATTGCATGAATATAATTAAAATATTCTTCCTCTGGGTTTTTTTTATCAAAAAACTTGATATATAGTTTAAACGTGTAATTTAATGTGTAATATATATTATTGAAATAAATATGCAAATATTGATATTTATTAATGTGTGTTGTTGCATGTAAATTAATATAATTAAATACTGATTCTTTAAATATTTAGTTTAATATTAAATATATTTTATAGCACACAATTAATATTGTGTTGTTGTATGTAGATATAAATATAGATTAAATATTGATCCATGAATGAAAAAAACATAAAACAAAAACTTAAATTATATATATATATATATATAAAGTGAATTTAATTTTTAACTTAAATACTGTATATTTAAAATTATATATATATATATATATATATATATACAAAAAAAATTTTCAAGTGAAAATCTATTTTTTTTTTATTCTATTATATAACATTATATAAATTATATAAAATTTTATCATTTAAATGTATAAAGAACAACTAAACTACTTGTTGCTGATCCTTTTACTCTCAAAATAAAAGACAAATAGCAGCCTGTATCAGTATCTGACTGTAGGATGAATGTTGTGACGGTTATGGAGGCTGATTTGTTTACCCACCCACTCATGAATATGCAAACGCTGTTTAATGACCGTGTATATGTGTGTGTGCGTGCGTTTGTGTGTGTGTGTGTGTGTGTGTGTGTCTCTGTGTGTGTGTGTGTGTGTGTGTGTGTGTGTGTCTCTTGCACAGACTGATAATTTCGCTTCATAAGACCTCAATATATCATCAGGAGCCATGGGGGTTAATTTTGTGTTGCCTGTATGTGCTTTTTTGACTCTCAAAGTGCCGGCACCCATTGACTTGCATTATATGAATCACCAATGATCTTGGTGATCTTCTTTATGGTTCTACTTAAGACAAAAAGCACATGTCAGATGGCCTGAAGGTGAGTAAATTAACATGAATCTTTATTTTTGGGTGAGCTGCTCTTCATGTGCATGAAGGAAGAATCCTGTGTGAATATGTTTACGGTCCTGAGGCGGCTACTTCCTGTCTTCTGACCTTTGCTAAAGGAAGTGAAGCGTCCTGATGGCATTCTTTAATTTCCTCCCGTCTCTCAGATGCGGACCAATGTTCCTTCATGGTGCGACAGAATCCTCTGGAAATCCTATCCGGAGACGCACATCGTGTGCAACTCTTACGGTACGCAGTCGCAACGGTGACCAGACACATTACCACATGATTTATGACTCTTCTGCTCACAAAACTGTTTATCTGATCAAAAATACAGTACAAATTATGATATATTATTAGGATTTAAAACAGCTGTTTTCTGTGTGAATCTCTGTTAAACTGTAATTTATTTATATATTTAAGTATAATATATACTTATTTATATATACATATATACTTCTTCTTATAATTATTTATGCAGTTCAAAACTGATTCACCAACTTATTCATGTCAAAAAATGAATAATGTTGACAGAAATAATTATAAAAATATTAAAATGATGTAGTAGAATTTGTGATTAAATATTAAATATGCAAATATTTGATACTTATCACTATGCATTGTTATAGTATTGCATGAATATAATTAAAATATTCTTCCTCTGGGTTTTTTTTATCAAAAAACTTGATATATAGTTTAAACGTGTAATTTAATGTGTAATATATATTATTGAAATAAATATGCAAATATTGATATTTATTAATGTGTGTTGTTGCATGTAAATTAATATAATTAAATACTGATTCTTTAAATATTTAGTTTAATATTAAATATATTTTATAGCACACAATTAATATTGTGTTGTTGTATGTAGATATAAATATAGATTAAATATTGATCCATGAATGAAAAAAACATAAAACAAAAACTTAAATTATATATATATATATATATAAAGTGAATTTTGAACAGGCCTACATCGAGTTCGAGAACATCGAAGCCATCGTCAAGACGGCCAGCAGAACCAAGTTCTTCATCGAGTTCTACTCAACCTGTCTGGAGGGTAAGAAACCAAGTCATCGAGTTCCTCCAACGAGGAAGTTTATATGTGAGAGACTTTATAAGATAAGATTCATCATTATAACCGGCAGAAATCTGATCTCCACATGCTCCACATACTTTACAGAAAATGAGAAATGAAAAATCCTTGTTTCTGTGTAACACTGAATACTCAGCAGGAAACCGTGTGGACTGAGACTGATGTTGTTATTACTTAAAGTAGAACTTAAACTTATTTCTGTTACCAAGATATTGCAACTGTCTTTAAAAAAAAAATTTTTTTTTATTATTTTAGTTTGTTTTAGTCAGTTTGTTACGCGCTTTTGTCATTGTTATTAGTTTTTGTTTGTTCTTGTTTATTTTTTTATTATTAGCTTTTGTTTTTAGTTTTATTAATTTTAGAACTTAAAGTTAAATAGAAAAAAGAGAAGAGAGAAATAAAAATAAATACGTATGAACAGAAAAACAGAAAAAATTACTAAAACTAAAATGAAAAACCTTTAAAAAATTGAAGTGAAAATTAGAA